CCTAGTCTAGTTAAACATATTCTCTGTTCCTTTTTTTAATCTCAATAAGTATTTTTCTAAGCAAAAATCAAATTTAAACAGTAAATAATATCCACCCCTTGAAGAGTTTTCAGCATCGCTATGGCATTTTCGAATGAACTGGTTGAGCAAAATTTGCTTTACATAAGTTTTGATATTAACAATTCTTAAAATACTCAGATTGTTCCATACGTAACCCAAACCTGTGTGTTCAAATACGGATTTTACAAAGTTACCAACTTAGATACAATATTTCCAGAATTATGGAGGTTTTACAATTGTTGGTACAATAGTCCTGATAGTTTGTATTGCTCAATAATAAGTGTGGCCAAAATGATAACATTCTTAAAGAGGCATTAGGTGTCAAATTCATTTTCACCGATTTGACACAAACTCTCATATTTGATTTATAACAGTTAACAATGCATGGACTCGTTATAATGTATCCGCATTTTGTGCGTATTTAAGACTTCAAGTCATCTATTTATACATCGCGATGACCTCCGAAGACTACTGACGGTCATATAAACCCAAACTTAACACAAATAAAAATAAAGCACGTGCAATCGAATAATGACGATTTTTCTATGTCTGTTTGAAATCATGTTATAGATTAAAATAATTATCGTTTTACCTGTATAAGAATGATATTTGTGGACCGGATGAATCAATAAAACGATTATTCCTGACGTTTTCAATGTCTACATTCTTTTCTTTTTAATGAATGAATCACCTGCTGAAAATATGCGTAACCCATCTCCACTAAAGGTAAAATTACATGAATACGGATTCTGAGGTTGAATTATTGACTTGCAAGTTAATAATACATCAGCGATGTTTTTTTTTAAAGCTTATTTTGACGAAATTAAAGCAAACTGACTGCTAAGAGCAAAATATTATTTCTATAAATCCCATTTTATGTTTGAAACAAAACAAAAAAATCATATTTTTATTTTTTGTGTCTAATTCGTAGCTAATATCCCGTTCATCGTACATGCATTCCCAAAGGGTATCATCCCGTTTCATCGTACACCATAAAATTGAGAGTTCTGATTCTTAATGAAAGAACTTTCTCCAAATTTTTCTTTTTCTATTACATCTATGTTTTCAAAACCCCATATTTCACAAGAGTTGGTTCAATCAATAAATCAAACAATTCAAGTTGTGCATCAATAGATTAGAGGGATACATACATTTCTAATTTTTCTGAAAAGAGCATAAAGTGCCTTTTCTGCTTGACCTATTATTTTTTTCTTGGCATCTGTAAATCTACCGTTACAATTAAACACTTACTCCAGATAAGAATAGGAGTCTACAATTTCTATATCTGAACCATATAATTTGAAATGATGTATGTGATTTCTTGTAGTTTTTCTCTTTGGTTAAGAAGTGGTCGATTACGATCGAGTACAAGTTCAGACTGTTTAGTATGGTTAAGACGAAAGTCAATTAAAATTCAGACCAATTCAGAATGGTCGAGTAAAAATCAGTACAGTCGAGTACAAAAACTGCCCATTTTTGTATTGGTGTGTAGTGATTATTATGTTAAATGATGTAACAAAATGATTTTTTCCATTAATTAAGGGACTTAATCCTGAAACACTTAATGATCCACTACCCAAATTTGAAACATGAAATGAAAGACAAAGCAACCTATTCATAGGGTTGGGTGTTGTCCGACTCCTCAATATGCAAATCTCACACAAAGTAACATGATTGTAGGCAACATAGTATTTGATGAATAACCTTTACCAACATTTGTACAGACTAAAATTAACCAAAGTTATCAACTATGAGTTCATGTAAGTTGGTACCTGATGCACCTACACACTAAGTCACATGGATTTATCTGTTCCTGTTAACTTACTTTAAACATGAACTACGAGGGTATTTCAATATACCGCATCTACTCTATAAAGGTGTTCTAATGATTGTTGCTGCTTGCGAGGCAATAAAAGAACAGAGTTCCAATGCCCCCCGCGTTGTACATATTTTATCTATCCAAGGGCAATAACTAAAAAAAGCACTTTTTATTAATATCTTAGAGAAATGAAGGATTCAGAGCAAATGCAATGTGATTCCATTATAATTAATATTTCCAAGGGGCATAACTCGTTAAAAATATTTGATCAGCACTTATTTTTTGGAAGTGTCAAAGACATTGCTGATATAATATAAACCTATGATATAAGTTTCATAAAATTCTGGCAGTAATTGTACACATGACAATGCAATTTTCCATATAATCAATATTTCGAAGGGGCCCAACTCTTTTAAAAATAATTGATCGGCATTGATTTTTTAACTGGTCAAAGACATTGTTGATATAAACCTATAATATAAATTTCATAAAAATCTGGCAAGAATTGTACACATTATAGCGCTCATAAGGCAATTTTCTATATAATTAATATTTCAAAGGGGCATAACTCTTTTAATAATTATTGATCGGCACTGATTTTCGAGCTCGTCAAAGACATTGCTGATTTAAACCTATGATATTAGATCCATAAAAATCTGGCAAGAATTGTACAAATGAGAGCGCTAACGATGCAATTTTCCATATAATTAATGTTTCCAAGGGGCATTACTCTTTTAAAACAAATGATCGGCACTGATTTTCGAACTTGGCCAAGAATTTGCTGATATAAACCTATAATATAAGTTTTATAAAAATCTGGCAAGAATTGTACACGTGAGAGCGCTAACAAGACCGGACGGACGGACGGACGCCCAGTGTTTCTGTGTCCCCCGCAACGCGTTGCGCGGGGGACAATAAATGTTTCACGTAAGAAGGGTTACGTTTATTTTATTTCACATTTGGATATTAAATTGTTTTCAAGAATCTGGACTCCTTGGGTGTAGTAGCCATTCAACTTCCTGTGTACAAGGTGTCAATTTAAACTCATTAAAACATGCTGCGATTTACCTTCAAATCGAATAATATACATATCACACTGTGAAACTTAATCCTTTTAAACGAATTTCAAATAGAAATTTGCAATAACTAATCTTTTCAATCAATTAATTTTTATCTACACAAAATGAAAATTATCCAGTCAAATTTGAATAAGAGGAATGCCGAATAATAATTTGATGTCAAGCAAATAAGACAAAGCCGATCATGATTATAAAGTTAAAAATATAAATTATAAAATATTCAGAACATATTTCTAAAGTTCAAAGGGGCATTTCTTCAAGAAAAAAAAAAATGAATCAAAATTTCCTGTCGATATGCACATCTATATAGTATGTCCTAATTATCTACAAAGTTTCATGAAATTCTGTTGTGTGGTTTCAGAGGTGTTTCGATGACAAACTGTTGCAGTAGTATATTAATGCCAAAATTCTAAGTTTAAAGGGCATAACTCCTAGAAAAAAACAGAATCATAATTTCCTGTCGATATGCACATCTACATAATATGTCCTTATTATCTACCAAGTTTCATGAAATTCTTTTGTGTGATTTCAGAGGAGTTGGTATGGCAAGAACAGGATTGACGGACGGACTGACGGACTGACAGAAGGACAGGTCAAAAACATTATACCCTACAGAACTTTGTTCCGTGGGGTATATTAATTTAGAAATTTAAATACCACCGTAATTAAGCGACTGTTTTCGCATTTTCCTATTTGAAACTTCATTTTAATTGCATTTTTTGAAAGTATACATTTATTGAAACATCAAAATCATAATTTCACATTAGACACACGCTATAAACGAGCTCTAAATAGTTAAAGATAAATAATTAAAAGGTCATAGGTATCTAAGAGTATTAGAGGAATTACAGGAAAGGTTTAAAACGATGCACAAAATGGCTAAATATACAGAAAACGTCTGAGAATGAGGGAGGGCTGCTATTTTAGGGTCAAACAGCTATTATTGTGAATTATTGGCTACATATTAGACTATGATCGTATCTTTAGACTCTTTCCGGTATTTTCGCCTAAAAGCGGTCAAACGCATGACCCGGCCCATTGTAAGGAAATGTTGTATGATTGACATTTAGACAACTATCCACCAGAGACCAAATGACGTAGATGTAAGCAAATATGGGTGACCATACGGCCTTTAACAATGGAGCAAAACCCATACAGCAAAGAAGGATATAAAAAGCCCACTCGAAATTAAAAAATATAAAACAATTCAATCAAAAAAACCAACGGCCTGATTCATGTACAAATCAAATAAACGAAAAACAAAAGAGGATAGACAGCGACCAAATTTTATTCCAGGTTTATGAAGTGTATGTCTTTTTGAATTCTTGATTACATGCATTCTCTCTTGCAATCAAGGTAAAGTTCATTTTCCATGAAAAACTGTCTTGAAAAGACCCATGACTACATCTAATCATGTTTCCGACTTTAAACTTCTGTATAAATGCTATTGTTTTATTTGTACTCAATTAAGACTGTTCCGCATTCCCTTTATCATTTTTTGGCATGGTTCCCTTTCATTTACAGCTATAAAACCAGGTTTAATCCATCATTGTCTACACAAGGAAATGCCTGTACCAAGTCAGGAATATGACAGTTATTTTCCATTCGTTTGATGTGTTTGAGCTTTTGATTTTGCCAATTTTCCTTGGAGTTCGGTAATTTTGTTATTTTACTTTTTACACGAAAAAGCTGGAGGAAGATACGGTATTTTAACAACTTAATACGCAACCATAAACCGAAAATGAAATATATTTATTATATTCAGTTGTTTTTCACTTATAAGTTTGACTATCCGTTTGGTATATTCTGTCTCTGTTTTACAAAGAAAGCCAAACAAATCGAAATTTTGAGTGTGTTACCCCTATGTTCGATTTTAAGTAACACAGTCACGTTTGTTTATCAACGGAAATTCAGAAACAATTCTTAAACTAGACTAACTATAGACGATTGTAGTCATGAGAGTTTTAGAAACAAATTCTTAAATTTTTTTTTTTACAGACGAAAGAGGAACACGGACGATGGGCCAGATAAACGAAAAAATATAGAAAACAAATTTGATAATGATAGAAAGAAAGTGACCATGTCACAGGAAGACTATACAATGAGCAGAAATATATCTGAATGTGAAATGATCTTAGCAATCCGGGATACATTGAAGCTTTGTATCTTATATGTTCATGCTTACTAAATAAGTCAAATATTTGTCAAATGATAACTTTCATCAGGTTAATACGCTTACCATAATCATATTATATTATTTTGTGTTCATTTATAATTAATGACGTCGAGATGAAGTTCACTCGTCAACAGACTGAGATCGCAAAGAAGTATATGACGGAATAATAGAATGGATAATGACACCAGATTATAATGTATAAAAAAGAAATTTTCATGATACTAAAATTCTGTCAATTCGTTTATAAAATCACACGCGTTCATCAGAGGTGTTTTCCAACATATTATATTTGTCCTCTTGGTATGTATTCAGTTCTATATATTCTGCCTCCTGAGAAAGCAAAGATTCCACATCACAGACAATCTCTTTAAATGTTGGACGACTTGCAGGTTCTGAGCCCCAGCATCTTGTCATCAATAGATACCTGTAAAACATCAATTAAGGATGTTGAACTTTCTACACTAAAATAAGCATTTTTATTTGTGAAAATGAATTAATGAGACGCGTGATATACGCCAATGAGACAGCAACCCTAATAGTATGACAAAACAACAAAATACATATAAGGGTCATCATTCAGACTTCAACAATAGACAGGTGTCTATACAATATGTCGTCCCAAGTATAATACCATGAGAATAGATTAAAAAGAAACTACACAACGATCTTCCATGAACATCAAATTCTCCAAATACGAAAATTCCCTCTCCCTTTTTAATATTGTTCACGAATGTATGAGATGACTACAAGAGGAGCACAGCTTTCAAAGGATTATTGGATTTTATTTTGATAAATAAACTGAAATTCCTTTACACAGAATAAGCTTGACATTGAGTAAAACAGCAATTTCCTGTTTTTTATGTTATTGTATGAAAATCTCAAAAATACAGAGACAGATACTATAAGTGTAAAACGATATAATGTATTTGCCAGCAGATAACGAATTTTGAGATTTCTTGGAAAAAACCAGAGTGTACCATCTGAAATGTCTCACCTGCTTTACTAACCACGATTGATTTTATGTTGAAAGTAATAAAGATAAAGGTTTTACTATCCCATAAACATAACATTATGAATGATCCATGACAATGAGGTCAAGGTCAGATAAATCCTGACCGACAGACATGTAAACCTAACCTTACAATCTCTCCATGCACTAATAATAGTTAACATATCGCTTATAGTATCTAAGAAACAAGCTTAACCAGGAATACTTCTTAACATTGACCAATGAACCATGAAAATGAGAACAAGGTCAGATGAACTCTGTCAGACAACAATGTATACAATTCATACACCAAATATAGTTGATCCATTGCTTTTAGCATCTGAGAAGAGGACCAAACTATGGAAACTTAACATTGACTAATGAACCATGAAAATGAGGTCATTGACAGATAATACCTGCCAGACAGACATAAGCACCTTAGAATTATTCCATACACCTAATTTAGTTTGCATAATGCTTTTTGTATTTGAAAAACAGATCAAAACACAAAATATTGTTATCCTATTTCTCATAATAAGTGAGAAATTCACCAAAAATTATACATTTTTTAGCAGTTGCTGAACCATTGAACATAAGAGTTCAAGGACAATGGACCTATAATAGACAGAAAATTCGTAACATAAGGTATCTGTATACAAAGTGTGAAGCATACAGGTCTTCTACTCTTTAAAATATAAAGCATTTAATTGTACAAATAGTTTACGCCGGATTGTAATCGCTATGTCTCGCATTATGTTACATTTTTACCTGCGGCGAAACAAAAACTGCGTTTTCATTAAACTTTGCATTGACTACAAAACTTTGGTATGAATTTATATAGAACGAGTTTGGTCTAAAAGCGATTAAGAGCTTGACATAATAGTATAGACACTTGTCTATTGGTAAATACTCCTAAGATTACTTTAACGCACATATCATTTTAGGGCACGGCAAAATTGCAGAAGAAAATTTGGATTGTTTTTATAAAAAATACGCAACCATAATGGTCCTGTGTATTTACAAGACTGCTTATTTTTGTTTCAGGAGACAATAATCAACGTATCTTTTAAAATACCAATGATTATACAATACAACCCGCCAAATTACAAATATGTTCTAATTATTTTATTCCTCGACTATTATATAAATTTTTATAGGAATGATTTAAGAGTCGGAATTGCAAAATTGAGAGTTGAAGACTTGGGAACAATTTCTGAGATATTTAATATTTCCTAGGGGCATAACTCATTAAAAATATTTGATCGGCAATTATTTTCGAAATTTTCCGTGACATTGCTGATATTAACCTTTTCGATATGAATTTGATAAAAATCTGGCAAAAAATTGAACATGTGAGAGCGCTTACAATGCAAATTTCCATATAATGAATATTTCTAGAGGGCATAACTCTTTTAAAATTTATTGATTGGCACTGATTTTCGAACTCGTCCTAGACACTGCTGATATAAACCTACAATATAAGTTTCATAAAAATCTGGCAAGAATTGTACACATGAGAGCGCTAACAATGCAATTTTCCATATGATTAATATTTCTAGGGACCATAACTCTTTAAAAAATTATTGATAGGCACTGTTTTCGAACTCGTTCGAGACATTGCTGATATAAACCTACAACATAAGTTTCATAAAAATCTGGCAAGAATTGTACACATGAGAGCGCTAACAATGCAGTTTTCCTATAATTAATGTTTCCAAGGGGCGTAACTCTTTTAATAAACAGCTGCGCCATGAGCGCATGATACGCCCGTCGCTTTATCAAAGAATTAAGTTCAATAACTTCTCAATGTCATATCAGAAATTTATAAAAAACTAAAGGCAGGTTATTTTAATAGATATAAACCAGTCACCAAAGTTTCATGAAAACTGCTCAAAGCACTTTTGAGTTATTGTCCGAAAACTGGAAAATCACCCCTTTTTTATGAATAAAATCCCATAACTCGGAAACGTAAAATCTAAAATTTATAAATATCGAAAGGGAGCTTAAGTCAATAGATATAAACAGTTCACCAAAGTTTCATGAAAACGGCTCAAAGCATTTTTGAGTTATTCTCCGAAAACTAAAAAATCCCCCATTTTTAATGAATAAAACCCCCATAACTCGGAAACGTAAAATCTAAAATTCATAAAAAATCGTAAGGGAGCTCACATCAATAGACATAAACAAGTCACCAAAGTTTCTTTCAAATTGGTGAAAGTGTTTTTGAGTTATTGTCCGAAAACTGGAAAATCCCCCTTTTTTAATGAATAAAACCACATAACTCGGAAATGTCAAATATAAAATTTACTAAAATCGAAAGGGAGCTCACGTCAATAGATATAAACCGTTCACCAAAGTTTCATGCAAATTGGTGAAAGCGTTTTTGAGTTATTGTCCGACATGTTGACGTCGGAAGGACAGACAACGGTATACCATAATACGTCCCGTAAAAGGGCGTATAAAAATTCGTAAGGGGTTCCGTGGAACCCTGTGTCTCTTCTGCGATTGCTGTTGTCAGTGTGAAAGAGTAATGTTGACTTAAAAAGTGAGTCCATTTATTAGTAAAATACAGAATTTAAAAAAAGATTCAAACTTTTTCTTTAGATGCTATTTCTTGGTCTTGAAGATTAGCTTTTGTCTTAGTTTCATAACAATCCATGAAAGGTTTACAAATTTATCATGTCAAAAAAAATTTAATCCCAGACTGTCTGTAAATGTTAACTGTAAAAAACTAAGTCCATCTATCAGAAAAATACTGAAAATGAAAAAAATATATTTTCAAAAGTTTGTTTCAGACATTATCTCTTCATCATAAAAAAGCTTCTGTCAATGTTTCATAAAATTCTATGAAGCGTTGACAAAGAAATTGATGTGTAACTAACTTTAACCCCAGACTATATCTACTTGTTAATTGTAAAAACAACTATGTCCATTTATCAGTAAAATACGGAAAAATTAAAATAAATATTTTCAAAATTTCGCTCTGGATACTAGTACTATATTTTGGTCATTAACAAGCTTCTCTCTAAATTTCATAAAATTCCATGAAGGATTGACAAAGTTATTGTTGGCTAAAAAAACTTTAACCACAGACTGAATCTGAATGTTAACTGTAAACAAAAAAAATCTAAATCAATTTATCAATGAAATACGGAAAAATGAAAATAAATATTTTCAAAATTTTGCTCTGGATACTGTCTTTTGGTCATAAAAAAGCTTCTGTCCAAATTTCATAAAATTCCATGAAGGTTCGACAAAGTTATTGACGACTGAAAAACTTTAACCTCAGACTGAATCTGAATGTGAACTGTAAAAAAACTAAGTCCATTTATCAGTAAAATGAAAATAAGTATTTTCAAAATTTTGCTCTGGATACTGTATTTTTATCATAAACAAGCTTCTGTCCAAATTTCATAAAATTCCATGAAGGATTGACAACCACAGACTGAACCTAAATGTTGACGCCGCCGACGAAGGAATATAGGATCGCTATGTCTCGCTTTCGCGACATAAATGTCACAGGCTCGACAAAAATAGTTCATCGGCACTGAATTTCGAACTCGTCCGGGACATTGCTGATATGAACCTGTGATATAAGTGTTCGGGGGGTTATGGTTTATTCCTAAAAAAAAAATTTCTGACTCAGACAAAAAACCATATCCCCCCCTCGAAGTTAAATGGTTGCTCCCTTATCGAATAACAGACTGACACTCAACTAGATAATGAAATGCACTTCCAATTGATATGCAGTTAACAGGGATGACTGTCTTTTCCTCTATTAATTCCATACCATCTTCCCGTTTTTATTGGAGTTTTAAGTTTGCAACACGATCAAACGTGAGTAAAAATCGGGTTTGAACATACTGTGACAAAAATACAATTTACGCATAAGTAAATGTTTGTAATTCAATGATTTATTCAAATTCATTATAGATTACCCGTATAAACCATGGATTTATAACTAATATACGTCCTTCTTTAAACAGAACATTAACAAAAATTTCATTGAAAATCAGCCCTTTATCATTGGTTGCTATGAGACTCTTTACCTGGACAGTAACTGCTAATGCAAGGGTCCTCGAGGTCCGCGCTATTCGTACATAAGAACATATTGTGCAAGTTCCTCATTTGTAGTTTGGCCGTCTAATCTTGAAAGCGTTCTCACGAGTACAATTCTTAACAGATTTTCATGAATTTTACATAATAGGTAACAGATGGGTCTCGTTTCTGTTCGAAACTTAGTATAAAACAACTGTCTTAAAAGGACTAATGTCCCTTGGAAATATAAATCGTATGGCAAATTGCATTGTAAGCGCTCAAGGAAGAGAGCAAGGAAGTTATACACCTGTAGACAAAACAGATATCAGTAATCTTGGTAGATTTGTTAAAAACAAATTACATAAACATGAAAAATGTTCTATACTACCAGTTATCAT